TGAATAAATAATAAAATAAACTAAACTAAATATATCGAAGGAAATAAAGTTACCATTTTGCTAGGCAATAAAGTTGCCATGTCAATAAAATTGCCAGATCTGCAGGCAACTAAATGGATATCTTAATCTACGTGATTATCAAAGGCAATAAAATTGACATCTAAGGATTTATATAATTGATCAACAGCAATAAAATGAACAAAATGATCTTCATTGAAGATCTATATGGCAATAAAATTGACTTCTTATTCTACCAATTAAATCTATCTAAAATTTTACCTGTCATAGCGCAGGTAGTGTATCTTCTAAAACTGCATAATATTATTATGAGACCAAAACTTCTTCTTTATATTCTTTATTTACAGAATTTATCATAGGTGTTGATTGTTGAAATTGATCGAATATAGGTTTTTTTCAATAAGTCATTAGAACATAATGTATAATTCTATTCTATTTAAAAATAAAAACTCCTTTATCCTAATATAATTGTCTTAACACTTGGTAAGCTAATCATTACCAGTCATTATATAATAATTGTTCAATTCAGTGATATTAACATTCATTAAAATTTTAACAATATCAATTTGAATTAGTATATTTGTAACTTATTTTAATGGTCAAGAGCATTCATCTTAGATATTTATCATTATAATTTAGGAAAAACCTTTTATTTTTTATCTCAGTTATTGTAAAAATAATTTATAAATCACACTTCCTACTGATCCAGTATCTAAAATTAAATATATTAGTTTTTCATCCATATGAACGTAACAATAAATAGCTTCAATCACTCTTAAGGGGTTTTGATTTCTTCTAGTATACTTACCCTCTGGAGACAACATTAGTAATTAAATGAGAATGTAGTGAATAAACAGTAGTAGAGGTTATATATGTAGGTTGTAATTGTAAAGTTCTTATTAGTAAAGTATGATATGAAAGCACAGCATGTTGGCCTCTATTTGTTCTAAATCTATTTTTAGTTAAGCATAAGTTTTCTCAATGTTCATGTTGCTTACAATGTGAACAAGAAGTTTTTGGTTAAGTATTGATTGCAGTTCCTTATAAAATATCCAAATTGTTTACAATTATGACATTTATCACTATTATTACGATTATTTTTCAGTGCTTTACAATCTTTAGAGAAATATTTGGTCTTTTTGCAATTAAAACAGTTTTGTATACTATTTTCAGACGTATTGGTACTTGATCAATTTTTTCAGTTATTATTTATACAGTCATTGGTAGATCTAGGAGCCGCAGTTGTATTAGATAATAAGTATTTGAATTCCTTAATTAACTTTTTATTATTTTCATCAATGAATTGTTGCATGTTGGCAGATTATTCTTCTTTCTTTAATTCTTCGCTATAATTTAAGTAAGCTTTGCTTAATAAATAACCTAATAAGATAGTATCACAAGATAATACAATTTCAACTGAGCGAACTTTATCAATTGCTTTCTTTAAATTATGTGAAGCAGAAGCAGCAAGCGTAGCATAAAATTCAGATCATAAGCCTTAGAGGAATTGTTTAATTCTAAAGTATTGTATTTTGGGTCTAATTTTAGGTATAAAGATTCTACTTCTGTAGCATATTTCTTTACAGATTGTTTAAACTTCTGTTTGCATCATCAAAGTGCAGATTGCCATTGCATTCATCTATGAGTGATGTAATAATATTTGAAAAAATGATAAATAAAAAATTGATGTTTATGTTATCGATTACTAATAGTATAAATACTTTTCAAATTTTATTTTGTTAAATTAAGTAAGAGCTAATCCTTTCATAAAAGATAGTACTAGTATTATTTAATATGCTATTTGCTTCATAAGCATAATTGTATCATTCCAACCAATTATTAGGATCTTAGTTGTCTCTTTTGAATGTAAGGAGATCTACAAATCTAGCTTCTCTTGCATCTAAAAATCCTATTAAATGTAAGATACCTTATAATCCCTTTAGCATTTGAAAGAGCTGAGGTTTATCAGACAAATTAATATTATTAATATTTTCAGTAATTAGGCCAACTTCGTTTCTACTTTTAAAAAAACTATCACTAGAGTCAGAGCTAAAGGAGGAACTATTATAATGAAAAGGTTATTATGATTGCCTACAGTGACTTTTTCTGTAACCTTTTCCATCCTTATTTTTATTTGCGTAATATTGTTCATTTGTCTAATTTTGCCTTTTGCATTAGGAAATTTAGCATTATCATTATCTTTATTTTTAAAATCAGAAACAAGATAAGATTGATATAGTTTTCTATTTTTAGAACTAGTACTCTAATTGTCAAATCTTATGCTACTAAAGCTATAGCTACTTTCTAATCTTACACTACCAGTATCACTAGGATGAGAGAGACTACTACTTCTAATATCAGGATTGTATCCAGAATCTGAGTCAAGGTTGATGGTATCTAAATTGTCTTCAATGTTTGAGAACTTCTTCTCTTTTCTTCAGTAGACTTACGCTTAACTGAGTAGTAGTAACAGTTTTTAGATTTGTCATTTATGCAGTTTTTTGATAATGATTTTTCTTTAAATCTTCAACATATAATCTAGTAGCTTAATCTAAGGTAATAGAAAGTAGTTGATTATAATGCAAAGAACACAAAGCTTATCAAAAGTACACTCATTAGAGGTCAATATTTAACGCAGTAATAGCTTGTTCAAATATAGTTATGCCTTTATTAATATATCATTATGCTCAAAGTTGTCAACAGCCTAATCAAAAAAAATTTGAAAGGTTTTTGAAAGTTCAGAAAAATCAGTATTTATATTACAAGTAAGATAAGAAGAATCTTTAGTAAGTGGTTTTGCAGTTCTAATTTATAGTCAATTTTAGCGTGCAGCTGATAATAAATTTTTTGATACTTGAGTAGATTATCAAATGAATGAAATTTATTCATGAGAGTATATTAATAGTTATTTCAGTTTTGCTCTAATATGTAAATAGGAAAAAATGGTCCTGTCATCATCGCTAAATATTAACATGCAATCTTTTCAGGTTGCAACTTTTAGACGTAATGTCTAAGAGTTGATTCTTTTATAGTCTAAATATAATTCTAACTAGTTTCACATTGTCTCAGTTATTTTACTACTAGTTTATTAAGTTAAATTAGATTTACTAAACATAAGTAGTTTTAATTACAAGTTAAAAGTTATCACAGTAATTTATGATAAGTTTTATGTAAGAAATAAGTACTTTATTAAAGTAGAAAGAAAATAATAAGATAATAATATATAAAGAAACAAAAAAATAGAATAAGAAATAGAAGTACACAAAGTGAATAGTAGTATTGAGCTATCTTTTACAAGAAAGAGGTTTCTATATAGTTATCGGTCTATCTTTTTCTAACTGATAAAAGGGCTTATATTTATATCTATTCTATTATATATTTTGACATATTTAATATATTAACTATGTTAATTATATTAACTATATTAACTATATCCACTATGTTAACTATGTTAGATATATCTAATATGTTAAATATATTTAATATGTTTGACATTATCGACATTTATATCCTGTTACACATTTGTAAATTTGATAAATATAATATATTGATTTTATATGCTTATTTGACAGAATTGATACTAAATTGAGGCTAATTTTAAGCTGATTTATGATTATTTAAATTCTAAATTGATGCTAAATGATGTTGAATTAAGGTTAATTTTAAGCTAATTTATTTGTTCAAAGTGTAGCTAAAGAATATTATTGATTAGACCATTTATGATGCAATGTGTATCTGTTTCATCATGTAATTATCCAATCAGTTGCTTCACTAGTTGAAATAAGAAAAATCAGCAATCATTAATTTTGGTTAACTTTCAATAATGCTGGTAAAAATTTCAGCAAAATTTCGACTGGCATTAAGATTCGATTAAAATCCAACTAAAATTAGGCTCACTTATTTTTAGTCTATTACTTTTGGCAGCATTGAGAGCTGTTTAAAAACTGATTAAAATTAGACTTACCTGTTTTATAGTCTATTTCTAGCTATTTTATAGTCTATTTTTAATCGAAATATTTTTAATTATAAATTTTATAAATTTGATAAAATGTTATTATAAAAAGTCATAAATATAAATAAAATCATCATTTAAATTATTTAAATATGATAGTTTCTGTTAATTAGGTTGATAGCAAGATATTCTACTGCATTATGATGACTTGAAACTTTATATTTCACTAGAATTAATTGACCAAGGATATGATACACAGGTATTATGCAGTCATGACCTTCGGGATAAAATCTATTGCACCATAACTCAACATTACAAGTATTTTTAACGCTAAAATAATATCATATATTTGTCAAATCAGCATGATGATACTATCTGATATATGCTAAATAATGTGTTAGAAAGCTATCCAGTAAGTCAGCTACATGAGTAAAGTAATATTGGACTTGTTCAGGATAGCAATCAACATAATTATTATCTGTCATAAATTTCGCCAAAACATAACAGCTTTTTGTATACTGTAAAGACATTACTGAACTAAAAACTTTGGATCTAATCTGACACTTTTCAAATTTATCCGCTTTTATACGAATAATTATGTTATCTATCAAACCTCTTCCAGGTTTACAAAATTTAAGTGATTCATAAGTTACCGTATAATATTTGACCATTAAATCCAACATTGTAGCCAAAAGTGTGATATTTTCAGAAGAAGGTTTCAACATTTCATCTGGCATTCTTTTACTTCTAGTGATTTTTGATTCTTGAATATTTCTAGAGTTAAGCCAAAATCGATGGATCTCGTCAGAAGAAAACTCGTCAGTTGCAGATGAAGATCTAACTGAAGGCATATTGTTCAATAGTTTAAAGCCTCTTCTTTCTATACCAGAACTCATAATTTCGCTTATTTGAGCATCAATCATTAATCGATGCATAATTTCAGGTTCAATTTATCGATGGCTATTTGGCAAAGAACCTAACAAAAAAATAATTTAAAAAACATTGAAGATTATTAGATTGATAGTAAGTTTAAAAACCCACTTATCTAACACACCGTTCATATGCTCGAATGAAAAATACAAAAAAGAGTAAAGAGGTCTGAAATTATGCGTGCACTCATGCAAGTGAAGTGAAAAGTGAAGATTTGGTATTATTTTATCTCGATCATAATGCTTTTCAATTAACTTTACTATCTTGATCAGCCTATATGAGCCTCAGTCATGAGATCATGTTCTAAAATTTGATTCACTAGAATTGAACAAACTCTAACAAAGTGTGTAAGAATTTTCTTATATTTAGATAGAAGGTGTTCCTAAAATGATACAGTTGCATAAATAGTGAAGAATATTCGCCATTAATCTGCCATAAAGTTTGAAAAACCTTTTTCACAGTCAATTTCTGAGGGATTCGACCTAAATCAGACAGAATTTAGAATTGGCTCATTTTCTTTAGACATTTTTTAGGTCACTTAGCATTAAAACATCTTCATTGACCCAAATTCTTTTGATTACCTATTTTGCGATATTCAAAAATAGGCAATGCATTAGATCAACAGTTAAAAACCGAATTGGGTCAAAATAAGTTAAACAGAGCAATTCGGACTATTTAACTTCAGTATTTTTAACAAAACATTTTCTCGCAGCGTCTGAATTGCATCTTCGCTAACCAATAGTATCTTAATGATACTGAGTTGAATTTTGAGTCATAAACTATCTTTTTATGACAGACATACCTGCAAAATTATGTTGATTATTTTCATAAATGGCCTTTTTTCGCATATGTATCATGATACTAATGCTGAGACATGACCGCAAATTTTTCTTGCAACAGGTATATCACATGAGATCAAGATCAATACTGCACGAACTCTTTTCCCATCAGAACATTCATGTGTGCTATTCAGAGTCACTCCACTCTAAAGTGACTCTAATTCATCAATAATCAGGGTTAAATAATGGTTAATTTTGTGTAGAATAACTTTATTTAGCCCTGATAAGATACCCAAAATTATTATATTTTCACGTTTGAAATGCATATCCCACAGTAAATTACATATAACAGTGTATATTACATTGGTACTATGAATAGTTTTTTCGTAAGGCTAAAACTAATCAAGATTTAGCATCAGACCAAGATGTAAGTTAGCGACTTCTTGAAAAAAATATGGTAAACCTTCTTTAGTAGTGTACTTAAAATTTCGCCAAACTTGCTCATCATATATGTCTGTTAAAATATTATCATATGTTGGCCTATTTATCCAATGACGCAGAGAAGCTTCAAAGCTAAGTCGACAATATAAAGCTGCAAATTGTTTGTGAATTCCAACAAATGGATAAATTAGCTCTAGCTTGTTTATAATTTAATCACTTAATAATTTTGCTTGTTTAGATAAATTCATTTGACACATTTTCAATTTATGAGTTGCTAAATTCAGGAATTTGATGCGATTACAATTCATAACAAAAAGATTTCCATTTTTCTAAAATTTAGCAACTTTTTTTTCATCATATAATTTGTGACATTTTGGACATACTGCGAAATTATAAAAGTTATCTTTTAAGCTGAGCTTCATTCTTGCTAAATAAAGCGAATTAGGAAAAGAATCAAATTTGAAACTACCAATTTCTTTTAATACAAGCTTCATGAACTTTATAAGTAACTCTGTAGCTGTCTCTGGTAAATTAAACTTTATATGAAAGTTCATTATCCATAACAATATCCATGAGAAGCGATCATTATTTGTAGATTAGTGTTATATATCTCTTGAAATGGTATAAATGATGGGCATGAATAGTCTTTAAAAATTTTAGTAATATCATTACATTATAATCTTTATTTAGCAAACTTTGACTTTCGCTCTTATTGCTTCCATTCTCGTTTACTTCTGAATCATCATAAACATTATCATTAACGATAAGATTTTGTTTGAAGTTTGATATAAGATGATTTGTATATTTTTTATACCTTCGAGGGTGGTGATTCATTTCCTCCTTATAGTCTTCTTGCTATATTTCATTTAGATTCTTTTCTCATAGTCATCTTGCTAGAATTTGTTTCCTTGTTCATCCGATGATAAATTAGCCAATCCTTCTTGGGTGAAAACTGTTTAATCTTATTCGTGATAATTGTTATGATAACACATTACTTGTGGATTGACCAATGCACCATAGCATTTACTGTAATAGCATGCAACCTTTGACCTTTTTCTTTTTTTCTACATTTCAGAAAACAAATAAAAATTTGATATTTTTAATATTTAACATTTATATACATTATTTTAAGATATCCAAGTCAGTTTGCATGCAATCACACTAGTCAAAATCAAAAAAATCAGACATGCAAAAATCAGCCTAAAATCAGCCTAAATCGGCCTAAAATCAGTCTAAAATCAGTCTAAAATCGGCAAATTATCAAAAATCAGCCTAGTCGATTGGCATACTTCAGAAATTGGCCAAGTATCAGGCAAAATTTGACCTATCTTATTTATAGCCGATTGGCATACTTATAACTGATTGGTATATATCAAAATTCGACCTA